TGATGGGACTGGGCTCAAAGTGTGGTGGGAATAGAGGCTTTGGAGAGGAGGAGGAGGAGGAAGAAGAAGAAGAAGCAGTGCTGTCATCTCATCATTGATGAGTTGTATAGACTAGTGAGGTGGGTGGCGCATTTCATCTGCGTTCCTTCACAGTGTTTTTCTTTGCTCCCCTTTTGTGTTTAAAGCCGAGGCACAGAGGAGTTGGAGAACCATGAGGCGGGTCACCTGCTGCGAACCAAACATTTGGGCGTCAATGAAGGCGGTGTGGTAACTGGGTTCGCCAACCTTGACAGCCCTCTTTTGACCTAACCTTCTTTTTGAGATTTTTCGCTTTCTCATTTTTTTATTTATCCGGCAATGCTTTTAATTTTTTACCTTTTTCACGTGTCTTTGGAAAATGAGTAATTTCAACTGATGGCTTGTTTTTTGTGTTTGGTTTATTGTTAGAGAGCATTTACTCATTGGTGTTTCAAATTTTTAGTTATTTTTGAGGACCCACGGATATGGTTTCGGATTTTTGATGTTCAAATGCAAATGCCCGTGGCAAGGATTTGGTTATATGCCAAGATCACTGAAGGGTGGTTTCCGGGTTTTTACTACCCTCTGTAAACATTTTTTGCATAGGATAACATTTATGAACTTACGCTTGTCGAACGGGTGTAGAAACATGTGGAAATAAAATGAGCTGCTCCCTGGAGGATGTCACCACCCAGATTGGATTTGAAATGAAAGAAATGTTGGATTTTAACACTTTGCTTTCTGGATTTCCAGCTAAGATTACGCTTACTAAAACGGATAAATGGGATGATTCTAGCGAGTTGGTCCTCGCACTATGTATACCATTGGAGCCTTGTGTTTTGTTTTCTGGACGCCATTGAAACTTTGCCAGCACATCGAGACAAATGTAGCTGTAGGGGCTCATAATCAACAAAAATTGAGAGCACTTACATATTTGTGCGTTTTACTTTTTGTAGTTGGGGCTCAGTAAATGCTCCATATTCACAATAGTTGCGGTTGCGTGTACTGCCCACTTAAATGGTTGTATTGCTGTCGGAAATGAACTTACTCCCTGGATCGGGCCAAAGACTCAATTCTCCTGACTTCTTACTGAATATACGCGACTAACCAAGGCAGTATGCTTCCTCTCATCTGTAACGGCCTCGAAGCGCTACCAATCGAGCGGTTGATTCGTTGAATCATTTCAAAATTAGCTGACTGCTGCCATTTTAGTGCGATCGTAGTAGAGCCAGATGCCTATTTTCTTGTTGATTTCTAGATGGACTTTAAATCCCTATGTGTAGTTCAACTCAACTAGTATGGCTGTCGGGCACTTAGTTGCATATCTTGCTTATGGCTGGGGAAAATGTCCTTTATGACTTGCGAGTTCCCTTTCACCCTTTCCTTTTATCAGTTGGAGAATTTTGACATTTAGCGCATGAATCACCGAAACTTTTCGGACATCCGAGATGCATTTCCTGGTAGTAGAAGGTATTAAGTGGGGTCTAATACAACTATTCGAGAAGAGGAAATAGGGCTCGGATCTTAGCTTGACCCAGGAACCATTCCAAGCGTACAAATGTGAGGCGCGTCTTAGAGTAACCGCCAAACATCAATGTAGCGTCCCAAGACTTCCCATAGGGTGAGAATGCATTAAGTGAAGCTGGATACATGTATTCCGAGGAGGACAGCGAATGAAACCGAGCGTGACCATAGGCCAACCCACGAGTACAAGTGACCGCCGAATTCAGCAAATCACATGAACAAGGCACTACAGTCAAAAGGTCACATAAGCAGCATATTACTATCATAAACATAAAAAATAATGACCCCTTGCACTACAATTTTGCTTCTCAAAACAAACTCTATTTATAAAATGTCGGTATGAATTTGAAGTACAGAAATTTTAATATGGATCAAAATTATCAAGTTACTTTCCAAAGTACGCTAAAATTGTTGTTTCAATAAATTTGCGAGGGTAATATTTCTGAATTTACAAGTTTAAAGCTTTACAATTCTTCAGAAAATCGTTAGCATCAGAAATTTTTGGCATTTGTAAGTTTTTACAAATAGCTAGTTTACCATAATTTTGTGCAGAACATCCTGGCTTTTTGTTTGACTTCGTCGATGCGTCTTACAGCGTGATTGGTGATTGCGATAATGGTGCGTTCTGGTTTGGGGCTAATGTTTTTTCCTAAGTCTAATTCTAATTCCTCTTTCGTTTAGTCCCACAGGAAGTTTTCGGCTCCACGGCATGGTTCTCTGGGCTTCACACCCAAAAAACGCAGTCGTCGCATTCGTGGCAAATGCAAAGCTTTTCCTAAGGACCGTCGTTCGTTGCCGCCACATCTCACCGCCTTCATGGGATTTAAGGCGGGTATGACGCATGTCGTTCGTGATGTTGATCGCCCTGGATCAAAAGTTCACAAAAAGGAGATCGTTGAACCGGTTACTATTCTCGAATGCCCGCCTATGGTCATTGTTGGTATTGTTGGTTATGTTCAAACCGCCAAGGGTCTTCGTACCTTTAAGACCATCTGGGCCGAACACTTAAGCGAGGAATGTCGCCGGCGTTTTTACAAGGACTTTTGTAAATCGAAACGGAAAGCTTTTACCAAGGCTTCCAAGAAGTGGGCTGATGAGGCTGGTCTTGCGGCGATTAACAACGACATGAAGAAGATGAAGAAGTACTGTTCTGTAATTCGCGTGATTGCCCACACTCAGGTTTGTGATTGAGTAACTTATGGGTTGTCCTAGATGAGGTTGATGAAACATCGCCAAAAGAAGGCTCATATCATGGAAATCCAAGTTAATGGCGGCACTGTCTCTCAAAAGGTTGACTGGGCTCGTGAACACCTCGAAAAACAGATTCCCGTAGCGAATGTTTTTGCTCAGGATGAGATGATTGATGTCATCGGTGTCACCAAGGGTAAAGGTTTCAAGGGTGTCACGTCTCGTTGGCATACAAAAAAACTACCTCGCAAGACTCATAAGGGTCTTCGTAAAGTCGCTTGCATCGGAGCTTGGCATCCGGCTCGTGTGGGTCGTACTGTCGCCCGTGCTGGGCAGAAGGGATATTTTCATCGCACCGAGATGAACAAAAAGATTTACCGCATTGGTCTTGGTAAGCTAAGATGGTCGCTTACTTCAACTACTCACTAGGCGTTCAAGCCCAAATTGAGGCTGCCAAAGTTGAGGCGGCCAAAGAGGAAAACAAGGAACTTGCGGCCCTTATCAAACCCAAGGGCAATGCTTCTACGGAGTACGATTTGACGGCTAAAAATATTACCCCAATGGGTGGTTTCCCACACTATGGTGAAGTCAACAACGATTACGTTATGATCAAAGGTTGTTGTATGGGACCTCGCAAACGCGTCATAACTCTTCGTAAGAGCCTTATTCAACAGACTAGTCGTCGTGCTCTGGAGAAGGTGGTCCTCAAGTTCATTGACACTTCTTCCAAATTTGGTCACGGTAGATTCCAAACTCGTGCAGAGAAGAAAGCGTTTTTGGTAGGTTTTGGCAACTTAGCTCCTGCTAATCTGAATTTTCATCTACTAGGGTCCTTTGAAGAAGGATTTGGAGCGTCCAAAGGTTGCGGCGTGATTTTTGCAGAAAATACATGTATTTGCGGATTTAAGTCTTTTGCGAATTTTAGTGGTTAGGTTTTTAAGAGCTTGGAGTTTACTGGCTCTCAACGCGTCCTGTAGTCATCTACTGCGACGTGCAACAGCCAGTTACATCGACTGACGTCTCCGAAGCCGCTTCTGTATTCAAGATGTGGTTCAATGGTCGTCGAACATTTATTTATGACTTCTGAGAATTGAGAGGATTAGGTACTTTAGCGGCGCGGATAGAGCTAATGTCAGGACGAGGTAAGCGCGGAGGCTGCGTTCGTGGTACCCCAATGCTTCGTTTGTGATAGAAGCCTAAGTCTATAATCGGTGCGTTTATTAGTTTTGATGAATTGCCACAGTAGTTGCGAAATCGCGATCTAGTTTGCCTTAAGGAGTGTTGGCACTGGGGTTGGCTCTCAGAGCTTTGGGCATATCTGCTAGACGGGGGAGTACATTCCTAGTTTGGTATCGAAAAATAGCTTGGCGAATCGGTCCTCTGCATTTGTGATCCTGAAAAATAGGAAGGATCGTCAGGCTGGGTGTTGACGGTCGGCGCTAGTTTGTATTAGCAACGAGTTACGAGTGTGCGTGGGTAGTAGGCCCACGGGAAAATAATCATCTACTGATAGACCAGTAGTAGGGTGGCACCTACGCGCGTTCCTTCCAATTGATGATTTCGTTTACGAGGAGTAGGATCGGGCACCAGAGGAGACCACAAGCCAGTGTGACCAGTAGAGGGAAATTATGCTCGTTGGTTAGAATTTCGCCATTCCGGAGAAGAACGATGGCAAGGTAAATTGAGTGAACAAGCAATCTGTAAGGAGAGGCGTGTCAACGTTCCTGTCACAGGCGATTGATAGTGAGTCGTGAGTCGCGTTAGGGAATAAGTGCAAATATTAAGTTATTGGGTGGAAAGAACTTAAATCAAATGACCGGTTGCATATGGATAATCTGAAAACAAAAATCAAGTAAGAAATTGCTCAAATATTACCACTGAACTAAATTTCAATTTCACAAAGTTAGTACTTTGGGCAAATTGCACGATATGAAGCACAGCGTTCATAGAACGACTCTACAGACGACTTTGACACATAAGTACATTTACTTCAAGTACCTAAATCAGAATTATACCTGAGTCCACGTCGAAAAATGTGTCAACTGCGATGATGGTCTACGTCAAAGTTCTAACTTTAAAGAAATTTACGGGCTGCGCTAGTTGCAGAGTATCAATGACTTTGAGCCAACCCCTATATTATCAAAATAACCAATGGTTGGTTTTCATGAGACATTAAATGTTGACCAAAGATTGTGTGAAAACAATCACTCAGAATACAGCTTAAGTAGTTGATAATAACCAATACACGGTTCGCCGATATCCAAGCATCAATTATAGCAACATCAGCCAAAATCGGCAAGCGTCAACCAAGATGGACCAAATAATGCTTGCACATTTGTGAGTGGGGCATGATTGCGACGATCAGAATGGATGGGAGTAGAAGTGGACCTACATAAGTACGGCCAAAATGAACCAGGGCAGATTTGTACCAAGCCGCCAGCGGTAGATCCATTGACCGGAGTTTGCATAGCTGAAGGATATGAGCACTAAAAACATAAGAGGAATGAATGTAGTGAAGGCGAATTTTGATGGACTAAGCAACATGCGTGACCTCACCCAGATAAATGACGAGGAGGAAGAAGGATATTTCTTCCGAAACATTCACACTCAGCAGAACTGCTGCATATTCAGGAAGCTTGACAAAAGACGTGCTGAAATGAAAATTAAAAAACAGTAAAGTACTTGCTAGATTACAAAAAAACATTTTAGTAATAAACGCCTTCTCTTGCCTCTCTTCCACTATCCTCACCAACTTAAGTTGCTATTTCAACAACGATTCACGGGATAAGCCAGACGAAAGTTTTCACAGAGAAGAAAGGAAAATGTAAAACTCATTCCTGGAAGACATGGCGAAGTAGATTCATAGTGCGCTTCGTGGTTTCTTAAAAAGTAATAGGAAAGAATGTATATTTTGACTTTTAAAGCCACATTCAGCACATTCAACGGATTACATAAACTTCATGGCAAAAAGTGACGAAGTCTCAAAGTGACACGAAGCAAGTTGAGGTACGCCTATCAGTTATTAGGGAACAGAATCTAGTATTGCACTTACCTAAAAGGTAAATAAATATCCTTCAACTTCCATACTGTTAGGTTCATGGTCTGCTTGAGCACAAATAACATGGAGAACCAGTTGAAGCATGGAAGTCATGTAAGGTGTAATTGAGGCGTGCAGATCAAAAACTCACTTTGCGTAGGCTGAGTTGGGAAGGTCATATGGCAGACAGATGAGACGATGGTCGATGGGTGTGGGGCAGGTGATGAAGGTTTGAATAAGGCTTACGGTCCAGCAAACCACCACGGATGGAAAGAAGCGCGCTGTAGTCAACCACAAAAGCCGAAGTATTCGCTGAAATGGTAAAAGGAGCCTAAGGTTCTCCTGTAGTCAGGCAAAAAGCGAATTAAATGGCTTTATTAAGATGCAATTTTCCTATGAATTCGATTTACATACAAAATCACGTGTGTCGGGCTGACTTTCTGCTAGTTCCAAATAATTCGTTTTTGAAAGGCTCCACGAGTGTCCCAGCAGTACATCGAATCAATCCAGGAAAAAAGTTTCTACTTCATGCAACCAGATGGAGACTAAGGTCTAGGTGAGAATGGAAGAATAAAACTTGTGCCAAATTATGTGCTGCTGAAGTGTAGTAGTACAACGGAAAGAAAATTCCCTAAAAGCCTTGGGGAGATCATTTTCATATATCTTGTTAAGTGGACGATATGTCCAGAAGAGTTATCAAAATTAAGCTGTGCACCCCTTTCAAATAGAGCCTATCCACACACCTCACGACTAAATATTTCGTTTCGTTTCACAGGTGGTTGCTGAAGAGGCTGATTTCTTTCCACAGTTCTGCCGAAAATGCTAGTGGCAAGGCATGGAATTACGACCACAATAAGCCACAGCACCTGTCCACCAATGGCAATGTAGCCCACAACAGCACCGCCGGACGATTCCATTGGTCCAGTAGCACCCAATAGAACGGGCGGAAGCCACATCAAGGCGTCTGACTGTTGGGTGGTGTCAGTGGTGCAAAACTGCACTGGAAAGACTGGCAGAAAGGCGAGTGAGAGAAAGTAGAAAAGTGCCACGGCGAAGGAGGAGGCAATGGCGAAGATTATACATAGGTGGATGTTGTTGACTGAGGCATGAGCCTACAAGGGGAACTGCGGTAGCTGCAACACCTGAGCTGACAAGCAGATTATTCCACATCTTTGTAGTGCGCTTGTAAACCTACACAAATAATTTGATAATTATAAATGGAAAAAACAAGTTTAATTCTAGAAACTGATTGGTTTGTCTATCTCGCCTTTCAACGGACAAAAGAGTTGGATAGTACTACAATTAATTCCCCTGACGTGATACGATGTTATCCTTCTTTGGAGACCCATTTTAAGCGAAATAACAAGGAGCTAAAAACCGGCTCTGTGTTACTTTTCAAATAAAATACTCAACTTTCCTGCATTCGCAGGAAGTCTTGTCATCCAAGTAATAGTAGTTTTGAAATAAATGATGAACATAAATCGGTGGAAACATTAGAGCAACCCAAAAGATAAGTATTAAACATATCCGGGAGTTGGAAAGTAGTCAAGTAGTGAAGAAAAAAAGAGAAACCTGCGAGATGAGCTGAAGAATATCGAAGTCAGCAAGAGAGGCGCGAGAGGTAAGAGCAGCACCAAGAGCGACAAGGCGTCCTGCGATACTCAAGAGGGGTAAGTCGGAGCAGTTTATCGTGTCGTCCGTAGCCGGAGAGGTAGGCTCATGGCCACAGACACGTGGCAAGAGGGGGAAGAGGGCAATCGCAGTGTCGCCTCGACAGAAGAGCTCCGCATTTGACATCGACAGACAACTGCCTACCACACATATTGTCTCACCATACTCCTGCATTATTTCCATCATCTCGTCCACAGCTGCATTGAAAGAAACACATCAGCAGTCCTATGCTCATGCTCAAAAACAATGCAAATGAACGCACCAATGTGTGCTGGCAGTTTCCAACGGTTTAGGGTGTGACTGCTGTTCAGCAAAATCTAGTTCCCATGTTTGAACGTAACTAAAGAGGCTTCAAGACCCAAAACAAGATGTTATTTACTCCTTCTAGGATTCAACAAACTAGGCTTCGAATAACTTCCTCACTGCGTAATCAAAGCATGTCAAAAATTCCTATTACTGCCAATGTTGTTCAATAGTCACTTGGATAGTAGCAATGCTAAAAGTACTATAAATTCGCACCAGGGTAAAGGGATTCAATACTTTTTATCGCTTCAAACCTTCTAAGTAGTAGTTTGATGTTCATCCCTCTCCGCCAGCTATAAGAATCAAGCTAAAGCCGAAAATACTACATATTTACTAAAAGAAGGTCCAAAATGCTCGATTTTCCGTTGCACCTACCTGATGCTGTGCAGTCGGTGAAGAGGGAAACTTTGAGAGGTACATTGTCAACATTCTGCAAATGCGACCGAATATTCCTGATGCCCGAAGGCAATCTTGACTAAAAAGGATAGAAAACAAGCTAAAAAGTGCAAGGAGACAATGTTCCCTTTTTACTTTAATGCTAGGGGAAGTGACTAAATTTGACCGCTGATTCGATGCAGGTGGCCGAATTAGAAAGCTTTGGATGCATACTCCAACCTAATAACTTTTATTGTTGCATAAAGGAACCCACTTTATTAGCAAAAACATAGTTGTAAGCATCCTCCTCAAGCTGTGGATTGCCTTTCAGTTCCTCTTGGACATCACCATCGACTGATTTAACCTCAGATGATGAGGAGGATGAGGAGGGGGAAGAACTTGATAGGAAGGAGTCCTCGGAAGAAAGCGACTTCCTCGTGCCTTCAGGAAGGATGTTTATTGAAGTACTGGAAACTTCGGCACTGGCGTATGGAGCCGCCCATTGAGGTCGGCCTTCTTGGACCTCGGTGTCCAGATCAAAACCAAACCAGACGTCGCCATTGGTCGTTTGGCCACTTTCACCCTCGATCAAGGGTGCGGAGGAACTGGATGCCGCCTCCGCCACCACTGATCTATCCTATCGAAAAAGAACAATGTTTGTGCGGATTGCCGCATGCAGTAGTCCAGTGAACAATTCACTAAGACACGGATGAATATTCAGTAATTATAGGTACTAAGTTGGAATTCACCTTTTACCATTGAAGAGCTATTCACCATAATGAGGCAAGGGGAGGTACATAAATCACAAGCTTGTCCGAATGCGGATACTTACCCTAGACGAAACGCATGAACGAGTCACATTTGGTGAACTGAGAGAATAAGGCTGCTTAAGAACCGCGAATCCTCCTGAAATGTAGGACAGAAGAGTGAAAGGAGCCTTCAGATTGCATCTAATTCCGTGCAGGCTGACACAGCGGACCCACCAGAACGAACTTTATTTTAAAAGCAATGCCAAGTAAATGTTTGTGCTGAAGATTGCCACAGTTGAAGAATATCATTTTGTTTTCGTCTTGCAAAAGGTTTATTTCGAAAAGTCGATGTACGAGGAGTCTTAAACACTCCGACAGTTGTATTTTATTGAGGTCTGCTCACGAACTTCCATGCAGTTGAGACACTTCATCATGAAGATCATTCATTATTGCATAAATACGCAGAAACAGTGGTAATCAGGCTCTCAGCATTACACTTGACGAATAGAAGTAAAAGTGCCATGGTCGAATCGTATTTGCTGAAACCGACAAGTTTACCAACGACCCACAATGTACATCGCACATTTCTAACTAATTTAATTTCCAGGCGGGTTCTAATGAGGAGATTTGAATGTTTCCCGGTTTTGCTCTAGAAATGAGTGAGGGTCATAACCCACGCAACAGTTGCCTGAGCTCGATCCAACTATTAAAATGCTTAACCACTAATAATTGACGCATCCGACTTTAGCTAAACAGTTAACTATAATAATAAGAGGGGAATTTTATCTGGCATCTCCACAATAATAAATGAAAGCGTGACTGAACATTTTTTTGATACGAGGAAAATGCCAAAATAGCTATGGAATGCATTTCAAAAGAGCAGCAAAGAAGCATAAGAATGAAGGAATTCAATTTTATTATTGTTTGAATGATAATAGAACGGAGGGAGATAAAACAACGAAGACTTCCAATATGCCTTCAGAAACGATTGATGCAAACTATCGCCCTCCCCTCTGTTATCGAATGAGGAGAAATTGCGAAACTTGTGGTTTGAAATTGCTGCAAATTTTAATACGGCAAAACAAAGATATGTAGAAAGTATGCGCGCATACACATTAACGACTTCAAATTGTGCTAAAAATAACCTAACAGATGAGTACACGAGCTGAATTAGCAATGGGCCGGAATAAGAGAAAACAATAAAAAGCGTTCAACCAAGTAGTAATCTCAAGGCGCAGAAGTCTGCAAAGGGTTATATGGGTAAACAAGCAATTCAGAGGCACATTACCACAGAAATGAACTAAATTCATAACAAGATAGCCTACCTTAGGTCAGTTAATGCGAAATTTTAGGTGTTGTATTCGACCGAGACTTCGTTGGGAGAAATGTGAGGAAAGGTGTAAATGAGTTTGTTGTGGAAACAATGGCAAAAGAGGTAGCCTGGATTTTCTGCATGCTAACTATCAAGTTTCGCTTCGGTGGGAAATCAGCATCCAAATACGACATCACGTATTTCACTCTGATTTTTTTTTTATCAAATCCAGTTACCTACCACCTCGAGTCTACATGACGTGGGGTTACAGGAGAAAAAAACATTTTAGGAGACAGATTTCACGTGTTAGGTCCGAGGTCATGCTCTCTTGGCATGTCGGATAGCTTTAGACATAAGAGCACATTTCAAATCTGCTTAAATAACTGATGAGGGGTTTCCAATTACTTACAAGTAAAAACGCCTAACTAAAAGAAAAAAAAAATCATGCACGGATAAGGTGAGTCAGTTAAGAGTAGATACACGGACGTTAGGAAAATAAACCGCATAAGCAACAAATAGAGAAAGCAGGAAGATACCGTAACCGAGGGAGCCATTTTGTTGTCGCAATAGACCAGCACCAGTAGAGGTTCGAGATGAAGCAGCGGCAAGATGGCCATCGCGGGTGTCCTGTGAAGGCGTCCGACTGACCTCCGATGGCGGATCTGCAAGCGAGATGTGACAGTTCCAATCCGCCTCCAGACCCAGACGCTCCGCGAACACCCGACTGCGCAGCTGGTTGTCCTGGATAAGGGAAAAATCTTGACCCGAATTCCAGCTTCATAACCGAGAGCATCAATGCTTCGTGCTATGGAGTGGTTAAGTAAGAGATAGCAGATTCACACGGACCTCTGAGAGTAAAATGAAGAATGTGAAACAAGCCTTAATTAATTTGTTAAATACCATCTACATTAAAATAAGAGCTGGCAAACTAAATAGTGGAATTGTTGCCACAAGAAATGGACAAGTCCTTCCGAAAGAATAAGCCGAAATCTAGTTTACTACCCGCAAATACAGAGGAAGGAGGGAGTAGCAAACAACAGCTAGGTAGTTCATTCAGAAATAGGCACAAATAAGGATACCGGAAACATTATGTGCATGGGAGGAAAAATAAAGGGACTGACAACTCTCAGACCTCGAAATGGGTGAACACACCTGAGAAAAGTGTACGAAGCGAATGCAGGCCTGGTTCAATTTGCGAATGGTCTCCACAATGCCAGGCATCGCCTGATACTGGAGACTTACCATCCCGAGGAAGATTTGCTTGCTAAACGCATCTTGCAAGGCGGCTGAGTCAACGGGAAAGTCGGAGGTTGCATTTGTTGAACTGTGGATTTTGAAAGGAAGAAATGAGAAGATTAAACCTAAGCTACGAATTTGTACTATTGAGGGGAGAGGACTGGCAACCTCAAATGTTGATCACTGCAATACTTGATCGCAGTTCAACTTTATAGTTGAGAGTATACGTTTCTTGAGTGTGTAAGTCTACAAGAAATCCAAAATAGAGGCCAAGCTTAAATACACGGTGCTGTTCTTTGTAAAGTCTTTGAACGACCCCTTTTTGGTAAGTTATTTTAAAGCTGTAATCTCCTGTTACACCAAAACAAAATTTTGAGTGAATTCGTGATACTGTAAGTTATGCCATGCTACGATTGAAGCAGTGATTCACATACCAATTTTGCAGCGCATTCATTTGGCAGTTTTGCTAGACAAAAAAGGTTCAAAAAGGTTACGGAACCCAGATATCTAAATCCCAGTTAATAAAGAAAAGCGACATTCAAGTGCTATTATTTTTAAGTAACAAAATAATCGCCACTGAGTGGACCTCGGTGACAAGTGTTCGTAAGGGCCCATTGTGTTTACATGAGCAATGCAAATGTTTGCATAAACACTTGATTCGATTGAAGGATATACAAACAAAGAGAGAAGAGGACATTTGAGCCTGACACGAAAACTGTCGAAGCGTAACGGGATACGCTGGTACAGTGTGTAAAGTAGCCAAATTAAAAATAGCATGAGGTTAGGTTATATGTCAAGACCACATTTTCCAAACACTGTTGTATCATGGAAATGAGATCGCACCTGTTGGTTTGATGGGAGAGGCGGGGTAAGGAACCGCAGCTGAAAGCGACTCGGGGAAGTCTAGATCTTGATTTCTGCTTCTTATCGATATTACTGACCTTCCGGGGTCCCATTCCCGAACCGCTAACAACTGAGACGTTAGGAAAAGCCGCGTTCCTTGTAGGCCGCCGTTTTGGATGCTGCTGAACGGATTCCAGCGAGTCAAACGGTGCTTCACCAGGGCGCGCCATGGATGTTGAGGAGGGTCGGGCGGTCAGTCGGCTTCTCAACTCAAAGTTCTATGCTAATAGTAGAAAGAACAGCGGTCACCTACCACAGGCAATTTAAGGACAGGGAGGGGCGCTTGATCGACATAATCCCCATTCGGTCGATTGTCTTGCACGAGAGGAGTTGACTGCAAGAGAGGCATGTAGGCGAAGGCCAGACAGTAGCTTGTAGAAACATTCAGGTTATAGAAATCGAGCATTTTGCTGCGCTCTGAGTCTGTAAGAGGTAGAAGTTCACGACCGTTCCAAAAATTGGTGCACAGAGCTGTGACCAAGTCACCAGAACCCTGAGTCATCACGTGATATCCACAACTCATTGCCTCGCGGTAGATTGTACAGAAGCAATTCGGCACAGGTACGGGCTCATTTGAGTTATCCTAGAAGTAAAGACTAACGTTAAGTAGCCTTTATATTACCTTGGGTACTGAAGCGTAAGCCTCCTGTATTCGAAGAGCCTGACTGCGAAAATAGAGAAGGTTTTCTTTTTGTCTGTTATTAAATACAGCCGATTTCGGTCGAATAAAACAGTTACCACTCTTCTCTATCGCCTTATAGATTCCTAGACTGGTCACAAAGGAGTAATGCTGCAACGCGGAAAATCGGAAGCCCATGTGGTAGGCGAGACCACAAAGACACCTATTATTCACCACTGCAACCGCTTCACCTTCACTTTGAAATTCGTCTTTTGTAAAGCACTGCCGATTAGCGGCTGTCATTCGTGTGAGATGACCCCCAAAAGCCGCATAGTGCTCGCGAGTGAGGGGTTGGCAGTTATTTAGTAAGAGGTTGAGGCCAATCGGTTTCAGACATTCCAAATATCTGCCCCATTTTGGAGATTCAAAACGAGGCTTATAAAGACAATCAGGCGAAGAGTTTATGTTAAGAATTTCTGAAACACATGTGTTGCTCTGAATGGAGGTGCGCCGACCCTGGGATCGCCCAAAGCCGCCCTCTGCTGCACGCTAAAATTAACAGTACACCAGTAGCTACTTTCCGATTTAAAAGGCTTGTAACAAAAATAAAGACTTACATAGGAAGTGATATTTCGTGCTTCAATCTGACTTCTAGATTTACCGATAGGGCTGGAAGGGGGAGGCGGAGGCGCAAGAAATTCGTTTGATGGAGGAATGGGGTTGGGGCCAAGAGAACGCGTGCGCATTGCCTTACGATGTCGGTTCTGACGTTCACGAAAGAAGAAGAGTTTCTCCGGTGTAGGGATTGGAAGACTTATTATTCCCTTTTTGTCCACAAAGCACATCCTACTGATTCGACCGAGATGCAGTAGCAGCTGTTCCATACGTGAATCTGGTTGAACAAGAGCCTGAAATTAAACGATGTACATGGATGAAAGGCAAAAGTGACGGTAAACACAAAGCAAAGCTTACAGTTTTCATAAAAGTTCGTAGCAATGAAAGACCATGAGTGGAGGATGAATTCGTTTTCTTTTCTACAAGTCCACACGACCTCGTATATTTGCTCAAGTGAGTGACACTCATCGCAAGAGTTAGAATCCACACAATTGGAACAAATAGACTGATTGCAGTGATAAGAAGAAAAGTGCTCATTGTAACAATCCATATTATACCGACTGATGCAAGCATCGATCGATTGTGCACAAAGACTCTTATGGTCGAAATTATGATACCAAGGATAAATAAGACCGACGCCACCATGAATGAACAGAACACCGAACCTCTAAGAAATGCAAATGATGATGTGCTTTGTAATTGGGTTTTATGATGAAGGGCCTTTCGCTTCAGGATGGTTTTAATTTGTTCGATAGCTGGAGATGCAGTAACGACTGCTAGGTGGAAGCTATCCATTAAATGCACAGAAGAATAAGGGCTTCGATTGGTGAAGTCCCTTGCAAGGCGAGGTAAAAATGTATCACCAGCACTATATCTGATTGAATCTTCATCCTAGAAAGTAAATGAACATGAAATACAACCTACAGGCGCATCAGTCACTAGAACGCAGTCACAACCGATTGATTGACCCGGTCGTAGGTTAATTATATCTCCCTCGACCAAAAGACTCACAGGAACATTCACAAGGTCCCCATCTCGATAGGTCATTTGAAGATTGTAGCTCAGGGAGTGGGGCAAGTATAATGGCGCATAGATTCTAGGAAAATCATGGGTTCTCATATCTACAATAAAATTAGCCAAGGCATCACATTACAATTAATGTCTTCTATTATTTTTTTCATTGCAGTCACAGTGACGCTGAAATGCGCTTCTAAGCGCTTAATGCTTGCTACGATTGTAAACACACTTGTGGAAACCAAAAGGGCCACTGAGAAGGCGTTCCAAATTATGCTGAAAGAAACATGTTGCTAAGACCGCACTTACGGCATATAGACGGGCGTTTCACAACTCAAAACGAGTAACACTATGACAAATAAAAGGACGATCAGCATATATGCAAGCGGATACGGGATCGGTATAAATTGGCGATAATCTTTCCAATGTAATTTAGTGTAAAGTTCATTATGAAATCGAATGCTCTGCAATTGCTGATACAATTTCCGTAATGCTCGATCAGTAGATAGGCCAGACGCCACTTTGGACACTTCATATACCTTCATACCTACTCCAGAAGTACGGGAGACGGCGCGCGGTAAAACGGAATCCGCATTCCAAATGGCTTGGGCCATGACCTTGACTCTTCCGACTCCCATAAAAGGAGCTTAGTTTCTCCGAAGCTAAAACTAAGCAAGTTGATAAACGCATGCTACTGTTGTAATATTAGGATTCAAGAACTTTACGCTGTACGAAAATTCAAAAGTTTCTGCAGATTGTCATATTAATTCGACTCAAAAGGGCTAGTAAACGAAGCTTCAGATGTGTTTGCTCAAAGCAGATAATGTGCGTCTTTCTTCTGCGAAAACTGAGAAGTACTTCTGGTCGAAAAGTGGCCAGTGCTGCTTGATCTTGTTTGGGCAGCGTGCCTTAAATCTCATTTAAAATGCTTCTATATGCCCATGAAAAGGAGGCAACTTCATCATTAATCAATCATTAATCATCATTAATCTTGAGTCAAAACTTGGTAGACAAAAGTATGCGCTGTCTGCATTAGCCTAGCCCTTATCGACGGGAAGCTTAAGGCAACCTCGTTGTGTAAATAAGCTTGAAATCTGCATGACAGTGGGTGATGTGACTGTTACATTGACTTAGTTCTACAAACCTTAAAAATCGAGCCTCTTGTTATGTCTTACCTTTGAAAATAATGTCCTTTAACGTATTTTATTAATTAAAATGAATTGTACATACTGATGTCCCAAATAAATGCTCCTTATTTGGAATAATTAAATTTGCGCTACAAAATACTCCACGCCAATTGGCGCATTGGTTCAAAGTATTTTGGTGTTTCAGCCGTGTTGTACTCTGTAGTTGATTGCGCTTAGGCTGGTTGTGTTGATCTGAAGTGATGGGCGAGGCTACTACGTTTTCTTTAGAAGAGGTCAAGAAACACAACTCTGAGAATGATTGCTGGATTGTTATCCACGACAAGGTGTATGACGTCTCAAAATTTCTGGATCAAGTATGTTTTGATGCATCGTTAAGCGACAGTCTTATACCACCTCAGTCTTTGATGCGGTAGATCTGCTTAACATCGCTAACATTTCCTATTCCTACCTCAGCATCCTGGTGGCGACTTTGTAATCCTTGAAAGTGGGGGCGGGTACGCAACGGAGTCATTTGAAGACGTTGGCCATTCTGAAGCAGCTCGAAGGCTTATGGAAGATTACTGTATTGGAGTTATTAAGGATGTATGATTCCGTATTTAATAATGTGACGTTCGCAGGAGGATAAGGAGTCTTCCCTTAAGTTTTCTTCGAATTACTCTCGAGACAGAAAGCCTAGTTTTGCGTAAGTCTCCTGTTACTTTTACATATTTTATTTATTTAGATACATGATTATTTATTGTTATCTCATTTTAAACCGTTCAGCTTTTATGACAATTGCATCGAGATTTTGTCATTAACGGGTCGATCATGAAAGAATGGCCTCCATTGAACCTATCGTTCTCTTTTATAGTTACGATTGGGTCAATTTTGCAATGCCAATTTCTGTCTTATTAGCTGGCACATATGCCGCGATGCGTTTCCTTCGGTTCCGATGAGATCACCACTATTTCCTCCTATGTACTTACCATATTGGAATACAAGATAATTAATCTAGTTAACCGCATGCTTGGTTACCTCTGGAGTCTTTGTTCCAAAGTAGAACTTTGGGTTGACTAACTCTTCCATAGTAGTGATCGAGGAGTGTTCCTTTGCTTTGTTCTATGATTTTGCCGGCCATTATCCAATCGTACAAATGCTTTTTTCTTCGGTTTGGTGCGTTTGATTCGAAAACTTCGTTAATTTTCTTTGACCCAAACTTTACTTCACATCGCCTTGGATATGTTTGCTGTTCTTCGGGCACTTTTTTTCTAGCATTTTACCTGACTGTACTGTGCTTAGTTTTGCGTGTGGTTTGTTTGTTGTAGCATTTTCTTCAAAAGTATTGGACTCAATTTGTTTACCATGTTCTTTGCTTCCTCTTGTGCTTCGTCTAATCCCCTATTTCATTAACGTTTCCGTCGTGATAGTGGGAAATCACGTCTTATATTTTTATCGGAGGGCAGTATTTAGGTTTTTCACTCCACAAACCTTGTATAAGTCGTTTCTTAGTAACGTACCTTGGGGTTCGCGTGACCACTTATTTCTGTTTGCAGTGGCTGGACTGGCGTTCTTCTTCCGATTCTCATAGCGATCGGGGCAGTGACAGCTTACTTCTTCATTAAGTAGTTGTATCTTCCTCTATCGTCTACCATTTCAGTGAACTGTAATTGTGATTTTGCATTCCTTTGCCTTGATGTTTCCTGTTTTTTGAAAAATATATGCAATGTATTTGGCACTCGTCTTATTTTTTCCGATTGTGTTGGTGTTTGCCGTGGTGTTAAATTATGAATAGCTGGAAATGCTTTCAAAGCATACAGCAACATTGCTAATAGTTGAGCTTGGTCTTGCATTTACTTTACTGGATGACTTTTTTCGCACTTCTTTCATCAGTCTTTATTGTCGCACGTGAGATTTTAATGCATTCATGCTTCTTTTGATTTATCTTGCCGAATTAAGCATGCTCTTCTTGGTTACTCGAACAGGTCGAAATTATTGTAGTCCTATTTCATGGTATTTGTGTTGCTTGAAAGGGCGTTCGTTGTGCCTGCATTCACAAGATGGCTCAACTTATACTAGTGTCCTCATAATCTTTATCTTTATTCCGATAGTTGATCGTTTTAGCCTTCAATAGCAATTTAATGTCTAACTGGATAATGTCGGCTCCCGGAAACACACTACTGATACGTCTACTCGGATTTAGAAATGCGTCTCTCCCTTCTTCTCTGCCGTCGAATTCGACATGACTTTCTGCCAGTGTACATAAAAAAGCAGTGGAAGGAACAGGGTTCCATCATGACTGCGCGGCGTCTCCGCGTACCTCAGCAGGCTCTTGCTGACCCGCGGATTGCAGAAGTTGCAGCGCAAGCAGAGGATACCTTCGTTTCTACTCGCTACCGCGATGCACTAGCACGCGAAATTGAAATTGGTGCTACGCCGGAGGAGAGGGCTGCCTGGGAGCTTCAACTCACTCAGCGATTAGCGCAATTCGGCGATATAACTGGGAACGTATCCGCTTCATCCCCTAGTCTTATCTTTGAACCGTCTCGTCTCTTTTGCAGGGACATTGCGCAGGTTGCTATGCTCACAAATGTAGGTTTCTTCTTTTGTAGCTTTGATGTACGTGGTTCGTTTTCTGTTTTGCTTTTATCGCAGATTTGGTTATATTTCTCCATTGTTCTCATTGATGATTGCTATTAGGTTCATGCGAACCGTTGATTTTTCAAATTAAGTTAAACTAGCTTGCAGTTAGGGTTGTAAAGGTTGATTGTGCTCGTCAAAATCATTTGTCGGGTGCTGACACCATTCTGATCACCTGCTATTCATAGTTTGATGAATGCACAATTATTCCTGAAAAGTGCATGAGGGCTTTGGCTAGTCGCATTCAAGAAAAGGCTGTCTTAACTTCATTTATTGGCTGGGCGTCTTCGTATTTTTTGAACACTACACCAATCTCGTCTTCTCAGTGAGGCTTTAAACTGCTGAAAAAATTGCTTGTAATAGCCAAAAAATTGTGATTTGTTATTTGTGAATAGCGTGGCATTTAATTGGCTTTAGTATCGCAGATCCTTCTCTAGCGAATGAAATTAATGAAATTCGTGGTGTTGAATCATTTGGCGCAATCTTTATTTTCCACAGAAATTCAATTTCCGTGGAGTTCGTTCGGAACTCATTCCAAAATCTTGGCACTACGTCCTGAGGAGGCGTATTTTGACTTCACTTTGTGCGTACCTTGACTCCTTTTCAACCCACTACTATATTTCTATGAGAACCTATTCATTATCGGTTTTATGAAATTTTTTTTAATGGCGCGACCTAAAACATGCAATTGCTATGCTGTTGTGAAATGTAGCTTTCTTGTTGCATGGTGGAGCAGCCTTGAAGCATGGAATAATTGATGTTATTCCAATTGACCGTAGTGGGACGTTTTAGCTCAAAATGTAAATAATCTAATAATTGCTTACTTCATACACTTGATGCATTGGACCATCACCGAGTTTCTTGATGTTCGCTCTAGCGACGGGATAATAAGCCTAGTCGGACCACAAGGGCAATGGATTTCATCACATCGTCATTATCAGTCCTTAAAATGTCAATGAGCCAGGATTCAAGTAACTTATTCACCAATTTGTCATCCATGGCCGAATTATCATAGTGATTTGTGCCTTACCTGCTTCTCCGCACTTGGTATAGGCTGTTTACCGAGCCAACTTCACTTAGAATTAATTTATCCTGCTCCTTAGACCGTCGTTCATGAGGGCACTCCTTCTGCTTTACAATCAATCTACGAGAAGTTGGTGTTGTCGCCGGCGGTCAATACGCAGTCGCTGCTTTCGGCAGTAGAGCGGAGTGTATTGCACGCCCATGTATGGCACACCGACGAGGACAAGTTGCCTAAGCGCTACAACCCAGACCTGCTAATTTGGAAGTTTAAGACCGAGTTTGGTATCCATCCCACCAACGTCGCGCGCTACCTTCTTTTCAATCTTTTTCGCGTCTGTGAAATCCAGGTTCTGTAACTTTGTTGCCTTTAGTTTTGTTTATTAGCTTGGTAAGCATACATGTATGGGCATACATCATAATTCCCTCTCCTCATAGAAGTGGAAACGCATTAGAGTTTCTTTGTCTTTCGAACTGCATCGGCTTTCGTATCTCACCTTTAATAGAGTATTTTGCCCGTTCATCTGACTCAATTTTTTTAGCATTACGCAGAGATTAGTAGAATTTGTAGTTTGAAATCCATAGATCAAACTGACTTCTCTTTTAATTCTTCGAAGCATTTGGACATGTTCTACCATTCCTCGTGTGCACTCGTATTGGGAAAGTGCTGGTTTTTTGGCTTGAGTAAATTAAAGATGCATTGCTCACTTGCAGCTCTTAATTTTGTAACACGCATGTTTTAGGCTTTGGAGATGCATTTGACTCCTTCAAGTGATCCACATACGGGCTTGCCGTCACGTTGGCTTTTGCGTGATCGCTTCGTGGAAACGTCTTTTTTATGGGGAGAAGAGCAGCCGCGTCGGGTCCAGTTCAGCCAGCGCAACGACCTCGTTCTTCTCTCGCCCACTCCAACACCCCTTTGCGAACATCCTGCTGCCGCACTCACTGCCACCCAAGCGCAGATTTTTGAAGATTTAAAGACCCGCATGCACCTTATCTCGCCACTAATTGACCTTACCTCTACCACACAATACAGGGAGGACAGCTCCGATGGCATTCATGTACGTTACTCTCCTTTCGTTAGCTCTACCAGCACGCGTCATGCCTATCTCCAGACCTTCTCAATTTCTACTTTAAGACGACCAATTACCCCTACCCCCACCTCATCACAGTAAACATCGCCCTGCCCAACACCTGGTCGGATTTCACAGCTCCCGAAAAGGACCGCATCACGGTGGCACAGCGCCAGACTATAGGTCTGATGCATTGCTATGCATCGTGTCTTGCCACTGCAAAGCGTCTCTATGGCAATGAGTGCGCTAAAGCTCCACTTCCTGAGCCGATAGCGGTACAGGCGGTGTGCACCGATGGAGTTTTCTTTGATTTTATCACCTTCCAGTTGAACACCCTAGCGACCCCCGATTGGAGTAAAAACCCCGCGCCTCAGGCTCCTATGAATTTGGCATGGGTGGATGGCAATCATGAGATCGTGCGAAAGCACTATCCCAAGCGTAGCATGCTGCGAAACACCAAGTACACTGATCTAGATATGAAGGTCTTCTACCGCCTTTTTGCATACTACCTTTATGGAATGCTTGCAACTGAAGATGAGAAAACGGAGTCGCTTGTTGTCAATAGTGGTGGTGCAATTTAGAACAGTGAAATGTTTTTCTATCTACAAGAGCTTGGATTTTCGCTCCCATCACGACTGGCTCCGCGAATCGGACTTCCTAGAATTTTAGAAAATAAAGTGACTGTAAACGCGCAAAGTTATCTTGCAAAACTTATTTTAAGTAGTTTTGAAGACGTATAGGGATTGCACTTGCAAGCTGCCACTGAATGAAGGGTGTAATGCAAGTTCGAGGTGCTGAGGAGTTTAGATTATGGGGCGCATAATTGCCAATGATGTGCTTTGTTCAAGGTTAAAAAGATCAAATAGAAATACGTAGAAAATATGATGGGAAGGAACGTACAGATCGTGGTAGATGTAGGCCATGGCAAGAGCAAAAATGAGGAATCCACCAAGCAGCATGATGTCGTATTTGAGGAATTCCTGTGTCGCATAGGAGTGGGACAAAGTGGTAGGCATTGGTTTCATGTGATGTCCCCGTTCAAGTTCGTACTCACCCTGTCCTCTCACCCAGTCGGTCAGCCTGATGTTCCAACGTCGACGCATTTCTTCCTCATAGACCGAAACCAACTTGGGATCAAGGCACTCTGGCTTCGGGTATTCCATCTTATAGCCCGATTCAATACCGCTAAATGGGTTGATTTTGCATTGGAAGTCGTATTCCTTTCGAGTGGACTCTTTGCCGAGAACGGCAAACGCTTCATTTATTTCGACGAACCTCGAACGTAAGTCGGGGTTATCACCGGCGACATCGGGGTGATACTACGATGTTTTATAATTTTGTAGAAGAATTCACCTTCTTGGAGAGTGCTATATAGGCTTCCTTAACTTCCTTGGGGGTTGCGTTATATTTGAGACCGAGGACTTTGTAATAGTTTTTCGATGAAATTGTAGAACTTTCAAAGCTATTCAGCATAATTCCGTTCAGGAAACGATAGAAACTACCGTTTAAAGTGGAAACTGATTAAATATTTCCATGAAGTCTTCCGAAGGAGTCGACGAGCAAATGAAAGCCCAAGCATTTCGGTCGCGTTTAATCCAGACTTACATAAATCGCTCCAATGCGGAGGGTCAGTAAAAGCAACGACGATATTGCCTAGGTAATAGATTCAATTGAATCGCTTAGCTTTTCGAAACGAATAGATATATTTGTTAAAGGTGATCGTGTAAATGTCAAATATGGAAAGGATCCAGTCGAATTCTCGAGAGAATTGCATGAGTGCCTGTGTTGATATGCTTTCCAAACGCGGTGATGACTGTTGCGATACTTTTTTATTTGACTAATTGCATAAAAGTGATTAATTTGACATACATTTTGATTGTGACTAGTTGTGTACTCTTCTTGGAAAATTAGGACTCGTCCTCCAATTTCCTCGTGAATATAGGTACTCAACCAAACCTACTCTCAGATAGGAGGTCAGTTAACGTTTTACCTGTAAGATATAGCTTAAGATCAAGCAAAATCGGAGCTAATTCGGATGATAAATGCTAAGGTAGTTTTCTTAACGTCTAATCGGATGTGACACAATTGGTAATGACTTAAAAATCAGGTATCCTATGAACTGGCAACATAACTTTAATGAGTGATAGTTGATAAACGGAAAGTGGCAAACGTTTGTTCCATTACGCAAACAATTTGACCTAAAAATGGCGGTGGGTTGATGGAAGATTTTGTCGCATAGCATTTATATTTGCTACTCAAGGCTATCTCACCACGGCTTTGGAATTGTATTAGCATTTTATTCTTTTATTTTGATTGGCAGTTAATCAAACACCAAGGTTGGTTTAGCTGTGTGAGGTGGCTGGTGGGTCGTGGTCGGTGCCTTAAGTTTTTGATAGATATCCTGTAGTGCACACTCCTTCCTGCTTGGTTTCATAAAAGTTGAGTGCTTTCAGATGTAATACATTTTGTGTTGTTCTTCTTTTCGATCCCCTGTGTAGTTCGCTTTACTTCATAATTTGTTGTTGTTAGCACGTTTTTTTCCAAGTTATTGCTCCTAAATGCCTTTGGATGCTGTTTTTTTAGCGAACCCTTTTAATATCACCCGTAATGCTCAAACCTTCCAAATGACCAGTTCGAAAAGTAAGGAAACTCCTCCTCCACTCTATCACCAACGTCAATCTCTAATGCTCTGTGCTGTCCATGCAATCAATAATGTTCTTCAACGGGATGCTGTCACGAAAGCCGATTTGAACAGGATTTGCGAGGAGCTCGCACCTGATTGTTCTCCTCTGATGAATCCTCACCGCAATATCCTAGGTCTGGGCAATTTTGACGCCAACGCTTTGATAGTCGCTCTTCAGCAGACTGGTCATGATATTGTTTGGTTTGACAAACGCACTAGCCTAGCGGAACACCGTCTGGATTGGAATAAAATCGTTGGATGTATTCTAAACGCCCGCCGGAAAAGTCTTGCTTCCGTAGGCGGACGGCATTGGGTGGCCTTCCGTGGGTTTCCAACATCGGACCCTGACGCAGTAAATTACTATGACTTTGACTCTAAATTGCGACGACCGGTGCTGGTTGCCAGGTCTCATGCCCAATTTTCCGAATACATTGAGCGACGCCTAAAGGAGTTGCCCGACTCTCAGCTCCTTTTTGTGGTACCTAAGGAGGTGCTTTCCGATCGAACTTGGCGCTTACCTCCATCACCAAAGCCTAGGGTTGAGGAGGAGCTGGTCGTGGAGCAGCATTGCTCCCCTCATCCAGTCGCAAAGACCAGTTGAACGCAAAATTTCTTCTGGGTCGTCCGCGCGTATATTTGCGCTCTCTTATTCTTCCCCTTCCTGTCTTTTTTTGCATTTTGTCTTTTTTGAAACTATCTTTTTTTGTCACGTATGCATATATTTGGGCAGAGTATCTTCGATCCGTAATCTTAACACTCGAGAACCTAATGAGGTATGTTATCAATGGGAACTGATTCTTATCAGTGGACCGAGAAACAGATGGCTACCGGCGTGAACTAGGCCGCAAGATGAGGTCAGACAGTGTAGTCACTGTAACATGGACCTTCTTCTTGGAGCTCGGCCCATAGACGTAGACAATAGGCCCATCATTGCTAATTTATTTCCTTCAAAATGATAAGGCGCAAATTTGGCATGCCTGAAACCGCTATTAGCAATAACCCAAGCGAATATCCCCCTAATTGTGGTTAGTTTCAAAACTGAAGCAGTTGACCCTCCAATTCTCGAATGAGAACAAATCTGCAGCTTTTAAGTTGGCTTGTTTCCCCATTTCTCATCTGTTTCAATTGCAACGTAACCATTCATACGGTGGCTACAAGTCCTGTCGAATTTTTCGCTTGTTTAGATGTGCAGAGTTCTGTTGCCTCTACGCCATCTTACACCAGTTCACAATGGATGCTAGCATTTAAATGGGCTATGGTGTAGCAGAAATTGACTATTTCGCAAATTAAGAATTATGTGTAGTCGTGACTTTCCATCACGGAGGGATTTAAGGTGAGAAAGCTTCAAGTCCAGGTTTTCCATAATTTCTTCCTTGATAATGTTGCAAGTGTAGTGCCATCGGGATTCAAAATAGTTACATGCTGGAAGGTGGGTCTGCACTTAAATTGTCTGAACACGAGTTGAGGTGCTTTACATGGGACTGGGTTTCTGTAAGGAGCTAGTGGCTATCATCGCTTCTGAATTTAGGATCGTTCGGCGGTGGACGAGGCAATGCTACTCAGATGTCACTACTCCATGACGGGTCATGAGATGGAAGTTAGATGCAATAGTATTGGTATGCGAGTGTAGGAAGGGATCAAATCTTAGCCTCATGACCTGTGAACATCGTCATTTACTGGAGAAGGGGTGACTTTTGACATGGGGGCAAAATATTCCCGATTTTGACGCTACTAAAGGTCGTGTCTCACATCGGTGGGGCTCTGCTGGGTCACGGTTGGCCCCTTCGCTCGTACGCTTCTCCTACAGTGATCCCTGTACTGGCGAATGGAGGCAGTTAATGTTTATCCTCTGAGACAGATGGCTGGTCTGACTTGTTATTTCTATTGGAGGAGTAGGAACGCCTCCGCTAGTCATTACTGTCGTTCTATTGCTGAATAGTGCTGTGCAGAGTCGATGTGGGCAAGATGACTATCCATTTGAGTCACGAATGTCAGCTACAAAACCGACAACTCAGAATCAGGCATCGGAACTGGCAACACTTACTAGGTGATAGATGCTCTTGCTTGAAAGACTGTCACAATACAAATTTCGGACCCAATTTTCCTCCGTCACTGTTGCATGCGCGAGGTCTTGAAGTCCGTGAAAATGGAAGTGCGTTCTGAGTGGATCGGTTCAGTGGTATGCCAAACTTTGTTTGCTAAGCTTTCATAAAAAATGAAACTCGAAAACGTAAAGGTTTGGTGGTGGATGAAGGTGACATACCTAGTCAGTTGAGACTATAAGGGTTCGCCTTAATAACAATTTGATTAAGCAGTCTGGAGGTAGTCACAGACTCAACAATTCCTTAAACTGAAATTAAGGTGGAGCCTCAAAAGCTATGGTTGGCGGGTGGCTGCGGCATAATCATGTAACTCACATCACTCGAGACTGGCAGGGGTTCAGATGCAGCCAAACTGTGAGGTACCACCATGAACAGGCAGGGTGAAACTGTTGCCTTACCAATCGTTGACTATACAAGACTGCGCATACGCTCAGGAGATGTGTACTGTCATCTTTCCGACTTGTGTTTTCACTGTTTTAGGCAAGTTTCGTCGAGTACCCAACAGTGTTGATGTAACGAAAAGCTGCACCCATGTATCGTTGTTTGCGTTAGGCTCTCTAATCTTCACCTAACAAATGGTCACAAATCCAAGTGCTTATAAAGTAAAAACATTTTGAAAGTCGTAGTCACTCCTTCCAAATTCACACATTGTCAATCATAAGTGGAAGGATCATGTGGTGCCAGTAGGCTATCATCCCAAATAAATGCAGACATTGCGCACGTTTGTTGCAGTAAAATCTACGGATTCGTTGATTGTATTCGAGAGTATAGATTTTCGTAGCACTGTCAGAAACATTTTAGAGTAAAAAAGTGGCTGGTGGAGATTGTTTCAAAATTGACGTTGGCACACCCGATCTTCCTAGAGGCATTAAGAAGGCGTAACATGCAAGAACTCGGAGGGTCTGCATAGCCTAAACAAGGCACGAACTATGGTGCTTGGGTTCTGGGTGCTCTGATGTTATTAATTCTCCCTCTCCCACTCAATTAGTAGTAAAGCAATGAAGATCACAGTTGTTTCCATTTCGAAGGTGAAAGTATTCGTAGCTAAGGCGTCGCCATAAGATGAATAAACTACTCATACTGTAAATCATGGATGCTTTGGGTTGTCAAGTCATTCGCGCATACATTTGTGCAAATCATGAAACACTTAGGGGAAAGGCCATCACAATTTCAATTCGGTTCACTTCGAACATCGACTCCAGATGTCTCCCCTTCCATTAAATGCACTCGCTCCGCCTGTTTGGTAATTTACATATCAGTTGGAATAAGTGACAGAATGGTAGGCTAATTCTGCTGTGTGAACAAAGGCTCGGTCCCCTTTTTTACTTCAACAACCTCCAAGAAATCCATTGGCCGTCAGCATTATCACATGTCGCCAAGCCATTAAAAGCTGTTGCTCCTAATAGCGACATCAGCCGCCATGGTCACCGTGCCATTTTCCATTTACTTTTCTTCTCACTCTCATCAATTTCATCACTCGTATTTTACTGAGTGGCAATAAATAAAGGGATAATGGTGTCACAGTTGGGAGTCCAATCCTAAGCGTATTTTGCATACCCTGACCGTCTCTCGCCGAAAGGGTACATTCAGACAAAGCAGCACTACAATCGTAGTAAAGTATCTGCACTTACACATGCTTTCGTGTCATGGATTCTCAGTTGCTTTGCTTCGTGGTGACTGTCTCGTGCTACACTTAAAGCTTTTTCGGGGGTTGTCACTGTGGCCGGCCTTGCTTGAATCCCTTTGTTTGCAGCGTAAATCTACTACCTTGGTAAATGCTTGGAGGAACTCAATCTTGTAATTCAAATTTTACTCTCATTGTGGAGCAGTTGGAAATGAGTTGACTGCATTTTATGGAAGGAGTTGGATACATTTCGTAATACAGGCCTTCCTTTAAACGTTCTTTAACTGCAATTATACATTGATTGGCGTTTGTGTTCAAAACAATGACTGGAGCCCATAAACATTTCTGCGCACTGAGTGGTTCCTGCAAGCCTAAAAAGCCATTGTACTGAGGCAGAGATGCGTTCCGACGACGAGGAGGGCTGATGCGCATCTGGACAAGACGAGTTCATTCCACACAACAAAAATACTAAAATATAGTCTCAAATGACCCTAAAACTGAAACTGAAACTGAACTGAAAAATGACCACGGCACAACACCTTCTTCCCAGCACTTCCGAGCGTTGTCTCCAGCGCCTCTCTGGATTGACCCTCCGCAATCGTTTTAATAAAAAAACACGCACCAAACACTCGCGCTAAAAATCAAATATACGGGCTTGATCACGTAGTAAACGATCCCTCATGGTAAAATCACAGTCTATTGCATTTTTGTTTGGCTTAGCAACTCTACCGCATGGTCATTCCCAGTTTTAAGACCGCTGGCCTTTAAGGGACGGCGTTTGTTAAGGGATGCGCTCGGACTCTGATCCAACACTTCCATTTTATGCTATCCAGTGGTCAGGGGCTTGGAAGAGGTGTCATGCGCTTCTGTAAAGGGGGCTTTCACCGAAGCAAGGGGACGAGGTAGTTCACAAAGGTTGACACAACTTTCCTTACTTTTGCTGAGATTTTACAACTTGTCCTTTCTGCAGTAGAGGAACTATCATCGAGTTCGATTGCTGTTGTCCTTGGTCTACCTTGAAAAAGACGGAAGGCATAATGCTGGAATAGCATATACATTGCCGACTTAGAAAAAGGCTGGAGGGCTCTGACCCTAACAGCATGCCGCCCTGCACAGTAGAAGTTGCTTGAAATACCCGCGAAACCGATACCTAAGAGTCAAACAGGCATGCGAATCATTGCATGTTTCATGTTTTCAGCCTCTGTTTATCGTGAAGAAAAGGTTTGTTATAAAGATAACCATTTCAGCTGCACTGAAAGAGACTATCCACATTCAAAACAATGACTCTACTCTGATGACATTGCCTCAAGCTAACACTTCACATGGTCTAAGCATCTGCAGAGGTGCAACTGCCGTGACCTTCCTTCGAAGTTATGACATTAAATAAGACAATGTGAGCTCATTTTGGACCAAAGGGAGATAAATATTTGCATGAGCACTTGCGCAATGTTTTTTACAAGCCTGACACTTAATGGCGCGGATCCTTCCTTCACCTCAGCTTCCGTGACCTTAGAAGGAGGGGATGAGTTGACGAGGCCACGCTGTGTGATACGAATAGCCCTAGCGAGTGTGTTTTGAGTGCCTTTCTTCCACTAGTCTATGTAGTGGTTCATTTTTTAAAACCGCCTCTTGCCTGAAGGTTGCATTTTTGGGAAAATGAGTAATGTAACTTCCACTGTCTGAAGTAATCCATTCAGCAGGTTCTCTCACCTACCTTTTCACTAAAATGCAGTGAAAAACTGAGCGTCAACCATGGCAAGAGCATTTTAAGGCTGATAAATAATGCTGAGCCTTCTTCGAAAAGTCGACTTCTAAGCTTGATGCTCCTCGTTTTCCTAAGAGTTTCTGTAAGTCGCCTGCAAAGAGACCCATTGAGTTGGGAAGAGGTAGCCACAGACTGCGTTGGGATGGTGGACGTGAATACCTTTGGTTCAGTGCACCTCTCGTTACTTAAAAATTTAGAGTAGAAGAGTTGCCGGTAGAGGAGTGTGTGACCGAAAAGGCACAAATTTCAACAAGTCCAGACTTTAATGATCCCAAACACGGCACCGGTCCACATCGAGTGATAGAAAATTTGGCTTTTGTAAATTTGGCAAAATTAATTGTGAAGTGGAGTGGACTAGCGTGTTGAGATGGTTGACAACACCGTCATTTTGAAATCAAATCAAATCAAGATTTTGTATCCATCCTCAAAAACATTCATAAAGTGAAGTGATAAAACAAGTAGTAAAATAAGTTATTGATGCCTAAAATGTAGCTACATAGAAAAGCTTGCGATAATTTAGTGTTTTAGGTAGATGAACATTTGGCTGAGGCTGTTGAACAGCCAAACGACACACGAACCTCCAAAATTCACACTAATTTGTACCGGTCACTGCTCATTAGGTCGTGCCCAGCAGTTGTAGCAAGAATGTTCTCCAAGTCTTGTGGTAGTTAAGGCGCATCTGTCGGGCAGAGGCCCACAGAATGGCCTATCAACTGTGTCTCTCCTGGAGTACTCCAAAACCTTTCGTTTAACACTGCATAAAAGATGGATGGATAACATTGTGCAGCCAAGTCTCGCATCAATCTTAAGTTAAGCGAAGCGAAAAATGGGGGAGACATAAAGAAACATTGAACAATCATCAGATATTTTGGTATGGTTTGTACATTTACCATTCTATACGTTCGTGTGTATATCGACTGGCACTTTGATATGATCTTCGGAGTCCACCTTCTTGATGAAACAGGTGGCAGTGGAACGAAATGGAATCTCCATAATCATGTAAATGCGTTGAAATTGATGCTTGAATTGCATTCCAAAAATGATATTTTTGATGGTTCTGACATACTAAGTCATTATATTGTCACCAATTGTGTTTTTAAGTCTTAATCGCGGCGTCAATGGTAACGATTTGCTTCCAGTTGCCGTGTTGCTGGTGAATGAGGGTCTCAAAAGCACTGACGGACAAAAGTAAAGGCCTAAAGTGTGTATACAAGACATGTGCTGAAAATTGCACCTGTTTCACTCACAACAGGCAATTGACACCACACTCACCCATCAAATGGACTTAGTTAAATGTTTGCATGGTCCACAGAAACTTTTCTCACCCTGTAAGCACGAAGACGGGCTGCTGAGGTGGTGAGAAATTTCACACATTTTTCAAAGCTTTTGACATCAAGATAGTAAAGCTCTTTAATTAAGTTTTATAACTCCTCTGAGGTAAGTACTTATTCTCGCAGTCCCAACGGCAACGCCTGTCAGCATTATAGAATCGCCCTTTACCAGGAAAGGAAAAGGAGAACTCAGAGCTCACAAAATACTTGCTTCGAGTAAACGCCTCCATAAAGTAGCAAATTCAACACTGAGAAAGTGTTTAGCTGTCTCATTAGAAAATCACCTAAAATACACATTTCGTAAATTTTAGGGAGCAGATGTCATTGAACATCTTATACACACCCAAACACGACTATAAGTTATTTTCAAAAAAATTTTAGACCCTTTAATTTAAAAAAATGCTTCTCTGGATCATTAGAATTTCCATGGATCAACACTTTTGAGGACCTTCCAGATTGTTGGCAGCCATCCTCACGCGAAGGTTCACTCGGTGACGCCGAGTTGAGCCACTGGAAACCTCGCCACTTGCCCATTGGCTGAACTCACTCGGTCCATTTCCCCAATTTACAGTCTCTGTGCTTCTGAATGTGTGCCTGTGTGCCAACGGGTTAAATTGTTGTGCTAATGAGTGCTTAACACCTTAATGGGTGTTAATTAGGAAACCGCCAACTCGTAGATAATTCAAACTTTCGTAGCGTTTTTTTTCGAATTCATCCTCGTCACCTCTAGGAGGATAGCACCCATTGGAATTTCTTTTTTTTTTCACGTTTGTTGTATGCCATACATATTCATTTTCTTTACATTGTACCAATTTAATGGTGGTGATATCATTACTTTAGCATCCTTTTACTCACAAGCACTTTGCTGCCAAATTTCCAACTTCATCAAACAGCAGAGTCTGCAGAATGCCATCGCTCTACTATTATCATTTGTTTAGTCTTTCACTGGGTACCCATGACTAGTAGTTTAGACCTCAACTAAACTATGCTAGTGGGTTTTGCCTTTTCTGTAGTGCACATGCCTTTTCTTGGCTTTGGGGAAGACTTGAGGCACTCCATTGGAAGTGGGTAAAAACGGAATGGAATTAGTGACGTCTTCGAGCAAAAGAGAATGGAGTGTGGCCTATGAATTGTCATTACCAAATGAAGGGGCAATAGGCTTGAACCTCCCAGAAGTCTCCTGCAGAGTTGTCATTCACATCCATATGTTGGAGTTGAAAAAAACCTACGGTGCTTCCTCCTACATATTCTTTATTGGGTGGGTAGAAAGTAATTCGAAGCAGGCAAACAGTAGTATATTGAGAAAGCTGAAATAGGGAGGCGAAGCACTGTCCTGATAAAATTAATTTAAACACCATCCTTTATTTAGTGACTACTTTTGGGTAAGAGTTCTTACAACCAGTGATGAACATACGCGATGATCTGCTTATTCTCCCCTTTCTAAGTATTCCTCTCAACACGCCACCACGTCAAGAGGTGTAATCGACGTCTCAATTAAATATTTTCATGGTTCTACCCAATTTCGACAATTTATGGCGCTTGATTTGGGGATGCTTTTCTTTGTCGCTTAAATTACTCTACCATGGACGACACAAGTGGTTGACTGGGGGGATTGGCAAAGGTGAGAGCAGCTGTACAATACATTATTTACTTATCCCTTCACTTCGGTTTTGTGTACACAATTAACGCTTCGTTTTAGCAGTCTTAAGCGGCCAATCCAGTGGCTCAAATCCAGTCCCTGTGCACGTCAGCAATACGATTTGGAATTCTTCCTTTGAAGATTGATTGATTGATTGATTGAGCAGATCGCATCAACACTCCGGTGGTAACAGCAAGCCTTACACAGAAGTAAAAGGCCTTCCTTGCAAAGTTTTATGCAATGACAATCTCTGGATGCCATAGCCCACAGTTCTTCACTAGTCACCACAATCCCAGAGCCCTCTTCAGCTTACTGCTAAGTTTCGCAACACCTACCACCATCTGCCAACAGATTATGCAATTCTAGGTTGACATCCGTGAAAATCGTGCACATGATAATTCTTAATTGCTGCCTTAAGTATCTCTTCGCTCTCTCGCTCCTCTCTACGCTTCTCAGTGTTTACGGTTATTTTACAAAAAAACTTTTCTTCCCATCATTGGCGTTATCCACTAACCCGTACTTCTTTGCATTCATACATCATCTTTTGCCGGTTTTGAGTGCTATGCCTTTCAAAGTCACCCTCAATTATGTTCAATTTTTGTAACTATTAAATGAAATCAGCATCCAAAAGTAGTCTTCACGAAAAAAGTTATTAAAGAATTTTCTTCACAAAGTTGCGGTTATACATAAGAAGATAAATCGACGCAAAAAATCACCAGGTTTGTGGATGGGAGCGGGGTAATGATAGTGTGTGAGTTTGGGCGGCTGTATTCCTGCTAGTTCACATGCCTCCATGCGTGCGCATTTTTTGTGTGTAAAAGGTCGTGATCACATAAAGTAGAAGCAGTTCAAGGATGGAAATCTGTTGCTGAAAGAACTTTTAAACTTCCAAATCCGAATTGCTTTCTGTGCTTGCTGAGACACTTCCCTCTCGTCGTCGACTGTGTGTTGCGGAGTCCATCTCGGAGTCGGGCAGGAGAATAATTTCTGGCTGGATGAGGTCCACACTGATTACATCATTTAGAATGGCCTCACGAATGTTAAATCGCTCTGGATGCTGCCTTCGAGCCATCGTATCACCAGAGCCAACACTGGATTCCCGCATCTGCAGTAGAGGATCCCCCATTTCTGCCTTTGGCAGCTCTCGCACACCAACAATTTCACCGCTATACTTGTCAATTATGCCTTGCTCCAATGCTCTCCTGACCGGCACACGTTCTCTGTCATTCAAACGAATGTAATTAACTCGGTATGTCCGACGGCGCATGTTTGGAGTTTGCCAAACAGCTGAGCATTCGACAGGATACTTGCGAGGAGAATAGTGGAAAGCAATACCGACGCCTGTAGAGAAGCGCTTCTCTACTATCACTGCGTTAGCGTTAATTGCGGTCGTGAGAGGTAGAATGGCACCGCGTTCATCATCCATGTAGATGACACGTAGAATACCTCGGTAGAACGCGTCAGCGGCAGAAATCACCTCACCTGTTCCAGGGACGCGAGCTCCGACCAGAGTGAGCTTAAGAAGGTTCCCCACTGTGTCTAATTCCAACTTATCCTCACCTTCTTCATCTGTCTTCCATGCAACAAAGGTAAATGCTGAATTCTCCTCAAAATTGGCATTTATTCCGCTTTGTTGCAACTCGTAGTCACTACAGTAGGCGCTTAGAGCTCGATTTTTCATCAGCTGGTCCACCTCATCACTCGTTGGTTCTGTTTGCATGGCTCTGATGACCGGAGTCCTTGAGATCCACCTGTAGCTACCGTGCTTTGTGGAACCGTAAGAGGATTGCATGGAATCCCACTCACCTCCGTCTTCTCCGCTGTAAAATTCCTCCTCCCCTGCGCCAGAAGGCCACCTTGCTCTATCTTCACCTTCTCGCACACTGGATTGACAGCAATAAGGACATCCGATTGCCGTCGTCGATGTGTACTGTGTTCGGGCATTCTGCAAACGTCTTCGTCTACTCTCAATCTCCAGATCTCTGTATCGGCCAAATTCTCCATAAGTTCTCGTATCCATTAGCATTTGGGCTACTTTATCGTAGCCTATCAGGCGCACACACTGAGTGATGCACTCTTCACATCGCTCCTCCAATTCCGTTTGCTGTAGCATCCTTCTGTTGCCCATAGTGAGGTCACTATCACTAATGTAATGACGAGGTATAGTTCGAGAACTTCTAAAGTAAATATTTTCCATTGACTTGTTTCGCCTATCATATGTGCCTCTTCCGGAAGGTGTTCTGAACCGATGGGCATAGCGGCGAGGCAACTGTGAGGCGGGGACACGGCTAGAGTACCCGTAGCAATCCGTAATTGTAGCAGGGCTCGTCACATCAGTTCGAACATTAAGCATTGCTGGGACACTTACGGACAGGCTGTTGGATGGGCTGAAGACCTGAGTCTTGTAAGGAATCAAGCCCTGTGATCCTGATCTTGATCGACGTGAAGGCACCTTTGCTTTGGTTTCACGGACGAAAGAGAAAAGATTCTGGGGCTGTCTTGTCTGAATTGGAGCACTTAAAAGGAGACTTGTTTGCATGACAGGTGCTTGTTGCTCTAGATCCACCTGAGTAGTTCTGGAGTAAACATCGGGTTTGGACGAAGTAAAGATCACAGATGTCTCCATCGGTGGGGTTTGTGTTGTTCCTACCAATGTCGTAGGTTCAACCTGGACACCCCATTCAATTCCAGTGCCTGCACGAGCTAGCAGTGGTGATAATGGGGAACGACGCGGCTCGGGAGAGCTGTATTGAATACCGATCGCACGCAAACCTTCGAACGCGCCGACGCCTTTTTGAATTCGTACACTGCGGCTGGGAGGTTTCTGCATCGGTGCATCATACTGCAGTGAGGCATCACTGACGGGTATTTTAAACATCGGTTCACAGGCTTTATCCTCTTTTGTTGGCATTTTGACTGGCGGCGCAGCGAACACCTTTACACTATCTTCTCTTGACTCAACAATCGGTGAAGACATAAAAGTCTCAATAGGGGCTGCTTGACAGCTGCAGCTGGATAATGGGGGAGGCATGACTTGCATCTTCTTACCATAAGTAGGAATAGCCTGAATCTGTGTAAATGCGTTGCTACATGGTTTACTCAACATAGAATCAATGGCAGCATCCTTTACTGAAGGTTTAGAAGGCAGCGGTGGCGCGGACCTTACCACCGTTGCCTCTTTCACTCCTATAATAGGTGGAGCAGTCACCTCCTGCCAGGTCGTCTGACTAAGGCCGATCTCCATTGCTAACGGGACCACCTGCATACTTTTACCAAATTTAGCCTCTTCTTCTAAATGCGACGTTACTTCATTTGTCATTTTTGGCAAGGAGCTGCAACTGAAATCACGCGTTTGAGCCTTGGATGTCGGAGCCTCGGATTGATGGAAAGTAGATTGAACAAAGGAAACGGTTGGCTTCAAAGTATCGGTTTGAGTTATGGTAATGCACATCTGTGGCAAGGGTTGTGCATCAAGGCCACGATCTTCAGTAGTAGGCTTTGGTGGAGCCGAATATACTGGTGCAGATTCCCTCACTGGTTGCACCACCATAGCCGGTATTGGAGTGTCACTTACAGTGTGCATAGTTGTCACTTCAAGGGGATATGGGAGCTGTGTTTGTTCTGACTTCTCATTCATTGGTGGACGCATATCCACTTGCATCTTCTTGCCAAATGTAGCACGTTTTTCATGCTGCTGTACATAATCCGCTTGAGTAGACATATCGTTTGTCGCTAATATCCTTGTTAGATCAGATTTTGTTTGGACACAGACAACGTTAAGCTTCATTAGACCAGGCACTTGAACCTTACTCTCTACTAAGTCAGCACGCAAGTCAGCTTGCAACTTCTTTCCATATGCAAGTGGTTTCTTTGGCGACTCAAGTGCATCCGCGAATACTACAGGACTTGATTGTGTTGAAGCGTCAAATAATTGCCCGGCTTCAAGAGCATCATTTCCTGTGTCTACTGTTACCGTTTTTGGTGGGGGAGGAGGGGCTGCAAAAACTTTCGAAGCTAATTCGGTTTGAACTATAGGCGACTGCGGGACACTTTCTATTTGTAGAGTTGATTGAACATAGGATACTACAAGAGGTGGTGGCGATACCTGAAGCTTCTTGCCTTGTGCAACTGGTTTTGCGGCCTCAGAAGGAAGTAATTCCGTAGTTTGAACGCTTAAAACGCTATACGGTGCAGGTGAAACTTGTAGTTTCTTCCCTACTGCGTCTGGCTTCATTAAAGGCAATTCACTAACCTGGATACCTGAATCAAACATTGATACCTTTTCCATAGCTTCGCATGCCCTATCAGTTCTCGTAACTTGTGACGCTGACGGGGGTGCGGCAAAAACTTTATTCGATTCCTCAACATGAATGGATTGGAAGGGAGTTGAAGCATCCTTAATCGAACATTGGACCAGCGAAGTTTCAAGAGTAATCGATGGTAACTGAATTCCCTCGTCCATAACCATTGGTTTAACAGGAGCAAATGCTGAAGAAGACACCTGAAGCTTTTTGCTTACAATTTTGGGTTTGTTTTTTAAAATGTCTTCCACTTGAACACTGGCATTAAATAAGCTAATGGAATCAAGTGCATCACATGATTTATCTTCTGTTTGAATGGACGGTTTCGGTGGTGGAGCAGCAAACACCTTGCTCGACTCCTCAACACGTACTACTTGCGATGGGATAGCAACAGCTGGCTCTTGAATAGTTTGTACACCGGACACTTCCAAAACAACATGCGGTTTCTCCGGTGTTGCAATCACACCGGTGCCCTGTGTGCTGACAACCGCCAGAGCCGGTGGAGCAACTTGGAGTTTCTTTCCCACACCTGCTGTCTTTG